AATATAAATGCTAGAAAAAATATGCTATCATATTTGAAAATTCCTTTAACAAGTTTATCAGTATACTAAACACAGCAGAAAAGAATCGGAAGAAAAGACACACCCAGGCACAATGTAGTAATTAAACTGCTAAAAACCAGAGTAAAGAGAAAATCTTGAACACAAAGAAAAGGAAACATTTATATACCTAGGAAATTCTCATCAGAAACCACATAGGCATCTTTAGAGTATTAAAAGATACTCTAAAAAGAAAAAAAAAAGGGGGAATTCTAGAAAGAATGAAAAATTTTTTAAAGAAAACACTAAAAAGTTTTTCAAGCGAAGCTGAAATCATTAGCTTAACATGTATGACCAATAAATAATTGCATTGCAAGTAATGTTTCAAATAAATGATCTAAGCTTCAATCTTAAAAAGACACTAGGAAGTACAGCATAAGGAATATAGTCAATAATATTGTAATAACTATGTATGATGTCAAGGGGCACTAGACTTATCGGGGGGGAATAACTTTGTAAGTTACATAAATGTCTAACCACTGTGCTGTACACATGAAACTAATATTGAATGTCAACTGTAATTGAAAAATAAAAAAAGAAACAGAAAAAAATGTTAGGAAAAGACAAAGTATATTAGCCTAAAGCAAGCTGAAGAAAATAATAAACATAAAAGCAGAAATTAATGAAACAGATGACAGAAAAGTCAATCAAACCAAAAGCTGCTTCTTTGCAAAGATCAATAAAATTGATAAACCCCTAGGCCAGACTGATGAGGAAAAAAGAGACCTAAATTACCATTATTGGGAATGTAAGAGGGAACATCACTACAGATCCATTCCACAGCTCTTAAAGGATAATATGAGACTAATGAATAACTTTCGGACAATAAGCTAGACAACTTAAGATGAAATGGACAGGAAGAGAGATGTCAGCAAGATGGAGGAATAGGAGATACCAATCTTGGTGTGCCCCCACCAAAAACAATAATTAGACAGCTAGGGATAAATGAAAACAGCCCTGGGGGAGCACAGGAGTCAAATTAAGAACCTACAGCAATACTGCAGAGCAAATAAAGAATAAACACTCAGAAAGAATCACTAGAGAGAGAGGCTTGGCTGAAACATCTGGAAATGGCTAAGAACAAAGAAGGGTGGAGGCTGTCAGCAAAAGCCACAGAGTGGGTGCCACTGAGGTCCCCAGTGACTTGCTCTACAGAAGAGCTCTACAGCCTGTGCCACTGAGGACCTCAATAGCCCCCATGACAGAATCCCTGCAGCTTTCACAGCAGAGGACTCCATAGTGTTTGCTGGTAACGGACCTCTGCAGCCTGCTCCAGAAAGGAAACTGGCTCCTTTTACCACTGTGGTAACTCCTGGGGGAGCACAGGAGTCAAATTAAGAACCTACAGCAATACCGCAGAGCAAATAAAGTGGGTGCCACTGAGGTTCCCAGTGACTTTCTCTACAGAAGAGCTCTACAGCCTGTGCCACTGAGGACCTCTTGCTGTTGCTGTAAGACCCTGCTGAGCCACTCCCAGAAGACAGGGTTGCCAGCCCTACCTTCAACTGCACCCCAGAGCCCCGGCTGCTCCACATGTACCTGCACATCAGACCTCAGCTCCACGGCTGATCCACATGTGTGCACATTTTAGGCACCAGAGCCACTGAAACTGCAGGCTAGCCAGCATCCCAGACCCCAGACTGCTGTTACTCTATGAGCATACATGCCCCACTCCCGGATTTGTGGCTGAGCTAACCATGCCCATGCCTCTGGCCACCACTGCCACCACGGCTACCACCAACCACCACCAACCACCACCGCCACCACAAGAGAGTGCTCTAAAATGAGAAACACTGCCAAGAGGGATCCCATTGGCCGTGACACACCCATGAGAGAAAAAGAGGTTAGGAGGTCGCAGCAGCCTTTGCCACCAAAGACTGTAACAGCCCTTACTGCCACTGCAGACACCTGTTTCTTTACCAATACTGACTTCAGCTAATGGAGCTGAAGGTGAACTACGCCACTGGGCCTTTCTGGGAGTTGGAACCATTGCACTCCAACCATCCAGCACCCTTGCACACACCCACAGGTAAAGGCCTTTGCCCACTAAAACCAGTCTATAAAGTATGGAAGAGATGACTGCTCTATCAAATGCACAGACATCAACACAAGGTTACAAGAAACTTAAAAAATTAAGGAAATGTAACACCACAAAGAAACACAGTAATTTTCTACTAACTGACTCCAAAGAAATGGGTATCTACTATTTGCCTGAAAAAGAATTCAAAATAATTGTTTTAAGGAAGCTCAGTAGCTACAAGAAAGTAGACAGACAACTCAACATAAACAGGAAAACAATGCATGAACAAAATGAGAAGTTCAACAGAAAAACAAATAAAAAACAAAAGGAACCGAACAGAAATTCTAAAGCTGAAGAATGAATTAAATGAAAAATATAATACAGAACATCAATAACAGACTTGTCAAGCAGAAAAAAGAATCTGTGAACTAAAAGACAGGTCATTAGAAATTATCCAGTCAGAGGAGAGAAAAAGGAATGAAAGAAAGTGAATCCAGGAAGCAGAAGGAAGGAAATATATAAAGATCACAGGAGAAATAAATGAAGCAACAGAAAAGATCAATGAAACTACAAGTTGGTTTTTTGAAAAGATAGAATTGACAAACCTTTAGCTAGACTAAGAAAAAAGAAAGAAGACTCAAAAACAAAGGGTCATAAGAGACTACTATGAACAAATATATACCAACAAACTGGATAACCTAGGGAAAAAAGAGCAAATTGCTAGAAACATACAACCTACCCAGACTGAATCGCAAATAGAAAATCTGAATAATTATAACTAATAAGGAGATTAACTCAGTAATCAAAAACTTCTGATCAGACAAAATAGCAAACATTCAAGGAATCAATGCCAACCCTTTCCCACAACCTTGCCAATGTTTATACCTCGCCTTTCTGAGAACAGCCATCCTAACAGATGTGAGGTAATAGTTCATTGTGGTTTAGATTTATATTTCCCTAATGATTAGTGATGATGAGCACCTTTCACGTACCTGTTTTTCATCATTGAGTATGATGTTAGTTGTGGGTTTGTCATATATGGCCTTTAGGTTTATATATTACTTTTATAAGTATGGGAGAGAGGGGGGATAATTAGTTTAAACAACACCCAAAAACTACAAAAAACATTAACAGTCAGTCTCCTGGTGTTATATCTTCTTTAAGATTTTGACACAATTCCAGTCTCCAAAATACAACAAATTTTATGTGGTTTGGCTCAACCATAAGCATTCTAACCACTTTCAGCAAAAATATATGCCATGCTGCAAATTTACAAGAATTTTGTTAGACCACGAAGGTAACAACAACAACAACAACATCTAACAGCCTTATTATTATTGTTGTTATACTTATTTTCATACCATTATTTTATCTCATGTCAATCTTAGCCTCTATGTCCGAGTATATTGCACCAAGCTACTCTTCAGGGAGTTACTTCCTAGTCCTATGTCAAGTGTCCAGGAGTGCCATCTCCAAGTTTCATACCTCAGTGTACACTTTTCAATCTGCTGTCTTCTCAGTTTACCATCAGAGATCCAGTTGAAATGCCAGTAAATTCCATGAAAGCATTGCTGATTTGATCAGCAAAACTAATAGTTCCCTTCCCAATATGCCATAATACTGGTTCATTCTATGACAGAAATAACTACATTTTGTTTTAGTTGGGAATACATGTTTCAATCTCTTGATCTTGACTATGAACTCATTCCCTGAAGTAATGTTAAGTTTCTCCTGCACGTCTGGTGGCCTACCTGAAGGCCTGGCACATTGCTGATGCTCAACAGACATTTGTTGAACTGCACTGAATTCAGAAGGATTACCAGAACTTAAAACGAGCATGTCACACTCGGTGCCGGGAAAAGTAGCTTCACTTTAGTGTGTTTCTCACCTTCTACCTTTATCAGACCTGCAGCAGATTTTGTTCTCTAGGGGTTTTGTTTCTGTGGTTTCTATTAAGTGGTATCGCTATATTATATTAATAACTACTATATTAATAACATCGCACTGGAGTGTTATTCTGACCATCTGAAGGTAAATGCCACCAATGCATTTTAAATTCTCAGCTGTACATCCTCTAAATTGAAATCATGACATATAACAATCTGGGTATGAGTGAAGTTTTGCCAGAAGAACAAATGTCAGTGACACTGACAGCTTTAATTATGTTTGGAATTTAATGTATAAACCCATATTGATAAGGAACAATTTTGCTTCAGAATAATTTTTAAAAACTTAAAAGGCAGGATATTAGTTCACATCAAATACTTCACAATCTAAAAGATTCTATTTTCATAATTTAAAAAAAAGGATGACTGCTATAAAAATCTATTAACTTCTCAAGTGGAAATTTCTCCATTTCAGAGAGATTGTAAACTCCATTAAAGAGAGCACTTCCACAAATACAAAAACAAAAGGAAGTACATAATAGCAGTGTCTAAAAGGTAAATAAGATACTGCATATTATTAAGAGGAGTCAAAGATCAAAAAACCATAAATTCTCCTACTCTGCTTGGTACAGGTTGTTCTCATATTAAAGGCCCATAGCAAATTAGGCTCAACGATTAGATAATTAGAAAAATATCAAAGGTCTAAAGCTTAAAAAGCAGAGATCAGATATATTTACTGCAAATGGTTAGACAAGCTGTCTATATTTTAAACTTGGAACTCAGAGAGATGAAAAGGATGAATTCATAATGCCAAGGTTTATGGCAAGAACTCAGGGCCTCCTGACCCTGGGTCTTACAATTACTTCCCAGAACAAATGTCAATTCCTTCCTCTGTAAGACTAGCCTTCATTCTACATTGAGCAGATAAAAATTACTAAGTCACAGGCTTGCTAAATAAATAGCTTCAGGTTTACCAGATTTCTAAAATAAATAAAATATTCCCACTCCAACATTTTATTTTATTGTTTTCTACTTACAAAGTCTTGACGTATATCGTTGAAGTCTTTGCCATATTTTTCTAGTGCCTCTTCAAATAAACTAGCTTCGGAGGCTGACCATTCTTCCATTTCATCTCTGCATAAAACAGGTCCTCCAAGTGGCACTAAGACACTAATTGCACTGCTCAAATCATAACTGTGTCTATACAATGTATCCATAGCATGAAACTAAAGAAAACAAAAAAAAAACAGAGAAAATATCCGTAAATGCAAACTTCCTAGATTATTCAAGAACAGAAACACTAAAATGCATGATGTACTTAGTTAAAAATAATATATGTAGGTAGTATTTATTTTTTAACAAAATTAAGAAAAATTTAACCAAGATTACTTAATAATTATTCAAAATATCATTTATTGCTTTAAGAAAATGTTGATATATATCTTTTAAGGCGTATATATTTTTAAATGCATTCATTTGTTATAGCAACTTAACCACGAAGATCCAGGACCTCCAAGTATTAAATTGGGAACCCAGTAAGTTTCATCATCTTTATGGTTAAAAAAGCCAACATCACTTCAGCTTCTGTACAAGGTTGGAACAGCCTTCCTTAACAAGGGAAAAATAGGTAATATATCAGAGAGTGAGAAAAATATTCTCAGGTTGGGTTAAGGGAATGATGTATTAAGAAGGAGAAACAGAAAGAAAACAGTGGAATTGAGAATGAATGACAATAATACAAAACAAAATTACATATTCCTGTTAAACAAAACAAAACAAAAAACAAAATTACCTATCCATGTTAAAAGAATAACTTGGTTGAGATTTTATAAAACCAAGAATAGATGAATAGCATTGCTTGGAATAGCTAGGCCAGTGGGAGTTTCCTATATTTTTCAAAGGAGAGTGATTTGAAGCATAATTTGAAAGGAGGAAAGATAGGTTAGGATAATATAACTGGCTTTATGCAAAAGTCCCTTGGGTCTAGCTTATTTAAAAAAAACATTTTCCTCCCATCAGAAGCAGTCAATAAAGTAGATTCCAAAATGTCAAAACCTTGAGTTTTGAAAAACTTTTGATGGTTTTTCTATGGGAGAGAAAGCGATTCATTCATAACATGCATGCATATTTGTACATGTAGCAGGAAAACTGCAAAACAGGACATTAGCCTGTCTTTGGATAAGCATATAGGTGTAGCGCAGATTTGGCTGGCAAAGTGATCAAATCTTTGCCAAGTGAGAACTAGTTCTGTTTAAACTTTCTAACATGAAAGCCAAGTCTTGCACTTTTTTTTTTTTTTTACACAGAGATCTTCTGGTATTTATTAAAATTTTCATAAATGAGGAGGTGTATATTTATGTGACAAGTCTCTTAAAAATTTAGTTTATGAGTCATCCCTAAATATCTGGTAGGGGACAATGGACAGTTCCCTATTTGCACAGAGCATAAAAATAAGCTCAAATATCAACTAAAATCTGTTAAAGAAAAAAATCATTAGCAAACATATACAATGAAATATATATTTATACTGTGATACATTAAGACATTGAATAAGGGTATAAAACATGAACTTGTTGACAGAGTTAAAGACAAGACTCATGGTATGTAGACACGTTTAGGTACAGCAACTGCTTTACTAAGGGTTTACATCTCACTTAAAATAAATCACTGGATTCCACAAAATAAAAGCAAATAGGGATTTCATTACCAATTTCCTAGTTAAATCACAGCTAAGACCACCGACCATGTGTAGTCTTGCTTTATGTGTCACAATTATGGCATAATAACTTCACTTTCAAGTGAATTTCTTCTCACTCTTCTTCACCAGAGGTTAGAAAATATTAAAATTAATCTTTACTCTTTGTTTGTGCTCTACAAACTTCAGAATCAAAATCCATTTCTCTAGCCGATCTTCGCACTTGACAAACTTGGAAGTTTAGCTGTAGTGTACACTGCTATATACTTTTACATCATCCCTGAAACTAAATAATTATTGTTTTTGGATATCTGACCTATGAAAATGGAAAGAAAATGCAATAACATTTAGGGATCCCTTCAATTAATAATACATTTCTATAAATGAGTATTTTTAAAACTCCTAAATTTAAAATGGATAACGAAACTAAAAAAGATGAAATGGTATTCAAAATCAATAATTATACAAATTAACTGTGCTGCTGAGATTCCTCAGGAGGTAGGAGTAATTTTTATAATTAACAGGTACTCTGAAACCAAAGTGACAAAATTAAATCAGTTTTCTCAACTGATTATACCAACCACTCAAAGCATGAATGAGTTTTCAGTCTTTTGTTCATGTTGGATGAATGAAAATGTTCTTTTTACAGGCACTTTTAAAACTGATGATGAGGTATTATCTATTCAAGGCTTCAAAAAGCCATAGTAATATCTTAGCCCTTATAAGTAAGTGATTATGACCAAAATCTCAAGTGATTTAATATCTTCTTTACAGAGTGTGTTTGTGTTTTTGAACACTGAAGTAAGCATTTGCTTTTGGAAGACTAGCTCTTACATTGTGCCACCAATCAAATGGAAAGAATGGGTTAGACTCACAGCTGACTAGGAGCTATGAAACCTCTAAAGCCCACATTTATACCACAGCCCAGAGGAGAGTGCAGCAATGGTTTATATGTATAGAAAATAAACATCCACCCAGGCACATACAGTATGGAATTCCTAGGGAATACTTCTGTTAAAATCAATGACCAACTTCACAAAGAAAACCAGAGGATCACATCATTTGTTAGGAGTCCAAACTAATGCCATATTTCTGACACACATAATGGTTTCTTTTGAATGGACTTAATATTTATAGTCTAATCTTACCCTAAAAAGCTGTAAGTAAAACACAGAAGATGTTTTCTATAATAGAATAGACAACATTCAGTGAAGACTCACAGAAATAAGCTGAGAAAGACCAAGAAGTTTAACTAATAACCAATGACTATTGTTTATCAGTAAGATAATAACTCAAAAAGCTACACATAAGAGAACATATTGGTTGGTTCCATTTATATGAACTTCGAGAAGAGTAACAATTGATAGTGAGAAGAGACAGAATAGTCATTACCTCAGACGAGGGGGCTCACTGAATGGGGAGGAGCATGAGAAAACCTTTTTGAGATTTGGGAAATGTTCTTTATCTAGATCTGGGTAGTTGTTACATGGACATATAAACACGTAAAAACGTATAAGCTATGTACCTAGGTGTAGGGTACTTAATACACTTTACTATATGTATGCCTCAATTTAAAATACAATTAAAAAAACCGCAGTCTTCCCTTCACATACTTTACAAAGTTACCATCTTTACAATAGCTTATACAGATACACACAACAAGATCCATTCAAATCTAAATTTTAAAAATCATAAGAACTCAGCACAAGCTGTTCTCTTTGCCAAATAACACTGAAGGTGTTGTCACATTTCATCTCATTCATAACAGATGGAGATGACAAACAAAGTATTTTAGGAGAAAGACTGACAATGAAATCTTGGCAGTGGAATTCTCGTCTTTTGTTCATTAAGCAGAATCACTCTATGGTAGACTGGGTTACTGTTCAGCAAATATTCATTCCCTCCTCTGGACCTCCATAGGAGGGTATTCTTCTACTCCAATGTTGTTGGGCCTAGCCATGTGACTTGACTGGCCAATAGGATCTTTAGATATGTGATTTAACAGAGCCCTGACATTTGTTTGTGCATTTGGACTTGCCCTCTTGTGTTAATGACTTTTGTCAACAGAAGACAAAAGACACATGATGATCTGGACACAACCTGCAGATTGTCTAGGATTCTGCGGAACCAGAGTAGGCACCTAAATCAGGCCAGTCTAGTTCAGCAGAATTCTAGACAATCTGTAGAGAAGTATACAAGAAATTAATGCTCACTGTTCTAAGTCACTATAATTCTGGGCTGTGTAATGAATACTGTATTTTCCTCTTTGAGAATAAAGAACATATTCAGTCACAGCACTAGAAGTGGTGTGAGCAGACAGCTGTTGGTCCTCTTTGGAATGATCTCAATTAAAAAAGATTCATCACCCAAGACCATGCCCTCTTTCTGAGGCAGCCTGCCACCAATGACAGAGAAGTGTAAAGGCCCAGACTTTTACCCTGATTTGGGACAGCTCTTCAGAGCATCCCATGGAGTCAGCTGAGGCTTTCAATCAGACTGTACCATAGTCTACCTTCTCCCTCTCTTCTCCTGCTTCCTTCCCTTCACTTCCACAGTGGTTGATCCCTAATAAATTTCCTGTATGCAAATCTCCATCTCAAAGTCTGTTTCTCAGGAACTCAACCTGTAACATGTAGCATTATTTTGACAACAGCTAAGTGATACACATATATATTCAATACTAACTACTGATTTGCTCAGAATTTTACAAAAAACTTTATATGTATACCTCCAGCACAAATACAGCATTCATAACATCAAATCTATTTAAAAATTAATAAGCATTAATGAGCAGAAGGTGAATATAATAAGCAGAAGGTGAATATAAACGAGTAAACCTCAAACCATGATTAAGGCATATTTCTTAGATATAAAAAAAAAAGTATGCCGTTTACTCTCAATTTTTGCTTCAATGCATAATACTCAAAACAAAATCTCTCATTCACCATTCAATTTCTTAAGACTTAGCTGTCATTTATGCAAATCTATAAGACACCCTGAGCCATGTTCTTATGTGTACACATACCTTTTGATCATTATCACAAGTTATAGGGACAGCAGGCCATGGTAATTCCGTGGCCCTAAAAGTCATTTCCAAACTTACCACGAGCAGAACTATGGGTTCTTTATCCTTGGCTGTGACCTGGACACAAACTAGACAAATATATAATATGACTGTGAACTGTGTGAAGACACTGGAGAACAATCAATGCAGGCAAGGAGTGATTAAGATAATTCAGCAAGAGGAAGTATGACAGGTGAACTACTACTTTGAGAGCATTTTTTGGACTTTTATGAGGGAGACTAGATCCGAACAGAAAGTTTCCTTTTCACTAGGCTGAGATGAAAGTGGGCAAGGCTTGAAAAATAAAATCCTAGGGAGGATTATAATCCAGGCCCTAAAGGAAATAACACATTAAAAGAAGTGGTAGTATATGTGTTCTCTGACCACAATCTCCAAGGCAATTAAGATAAATTTGTGAACCTCATTTGCTTGGAAATTAGCAATCAAATGCAAAATTATAAAGTAAG